GGCTGGCGGCAATCTCCACCATTCCTCTTCCTCTTCATTCCAGTCCCTGACAGTCAATCTTCATTACATCATTCTTGCATCTGACCGCATTTTCCTCCCGCCCTTTTGGCAGCTGGTTGATTGCAGTCCATTGGCAGTCCAGGAGCGCCTCTTGATTAATGCCAATATTCCAGATTAAGGGGAAAGAACCAAGCACAAATCATGCTGGAGACGGAGGCTCGTCCATGGCAGGGGCACCCGTTCTGCCTTTCAAGTTGGCAGACACAGGCTTGAGCGGCACAGTGGGATGCAGTGAACTCCCCAGACCTCACTGGGGAGCATTGAGGCATACCTGGGCTCTCTTGTACCCTTGGCAAGGAATATATCATTGCCCCCCTGTCCCCCGCACCTTCCTTCAAACCCTTGAGAGCTGATACCATTCAGTGTAGATGACACTGATGGTTGGGTGATCTAACTCATTTTGAGGCAGCTCCCTATATTTCCTAAATTATTTAGAGGGGCATTTTCAGGCGGGGTGAATAATGATTGAGTCTCTTTTTACTTTACTCTCAAACGCACACACGTGGTGGTGGTGAGGAGAGAGAGGACACTGCTAGTTGGAAGAGGGTGTTAATTTGTCCAGGTGTTGCAAGCAGTGCCAGTGAGCCCAGTCAATCCTCAACTCTGGCAACTATGGGCAAAGAGAAACCCAGCTTCACCTGTCTTCTTTGCGGCTCCATTGCTCAGGCCCTGCCCCCCCCCCACACAGAGGGGAAGCTGTTGCTAATTCTATTGATGCAAAGATGGTCATGCTGGAGACAAGTGCCTCCTTCTCCGTGGGGCAGGGGGTGCACACTCACAATATTTTTGCCACTCCCTGGGACTTTTCCCTTGGCGGGGGTCAACCTTACCAATGGCTAGGTATGCCTCTGAATGAGGTGTGCTCTAGCTCAGGTGATCACTCCAGCACACGTCTGCCATTGTGCTTCCTCTTTTCTTATTCTTTTTTTCTTTGCTTGCCAGTTCCCAAAGGTGTGACCTGGTGTTCTCTGAACGCCCAAGCATGACGTTTATTACTGATCGATTTCATAAAGTCCAATGCACTGTTTGACTGTAAAACGAATAAATAAAAACCAACACCTTCCCCCCACGAAGCAGCCTTTATTGTAGAATAGACGACCACTTAGTCATGCATAAAAATTCTCCTCCCATGTCTTCCCACCAGTTTTCTCCCCACCCCCATCATTCAGAAAACTCACATTTTCATATGTTCATACATGTATATGCTGTCTTTCCACAGTTCAAACCACGCTCAATGTGGCTTGCAACATGAAAAAATACTGTTCCCTGCCACCCCAATCTCTGCCGAACAGTAGCAAGATTCCAGGGGTCTTGGCACTTAACCAGGATTTGTGTTTCGCTGGAATGAGACATTGTGGAGTCTGTAGTGTCTTTAAGAAATGTGGATGACGTACACATATTTACACCTGAGGTTTGATGGATGGAGGGAGTGCAGAGCATTACACCCCAAGTGTGTTTCTTGTTGCTCCCCTCGTAGTTTCAGCAAGAAGCCAGCCATGAAACCTACTCGCTTCATGCAGCCTCTCCCAGCCAGCACACAGGAATTTCTCCCCGCCTTCCACCAAAACTCTGTTTTAAAAGGACACATTATTTCCTGCGGTCACAGGGCTTTATTTCCCTGTCACACTGGCAGCCTCCCCCCTCACATAATCAAACACTGAAATCCTAAACCTGGGTTTTGTCTCAGTGCTGGCACCTTTCTTTCCCAAATGTTGAAATGTGGCACTTACTTCCCTAAAAACTTCATGGTGAGTACCGGCACCGTTTTTCCTTAGAAAAAGAGCACTGGTTGTAAACAATAAATGAAACATTAAAAAATGCAGAACCAAATCGAGCAATTTCCACATAAATATCAAGATCTAAAATAAAGATACAAAAAACCAGCAGCCGCTTTCAACCAGGATAGTCCCACACCAAGAATTGCCAGTGTCCCTGTGAATAAGGAACTGGGATATATGTACCCATAAATAAGCTTGGGACATGTTCACTACCAGGGGGCTGTCTCTGCTTGCTAAAACCACACTTTTTTTTTGACCAGTGTAAGCATTATGGCTTCAGTACCAACCCAACTTCTATAAGTGACTTGTAAAAAAGCAAATGTTGGACTCAACATGTTATTTGGAAGGGACAGTCTCAAAGAAGAGGATGTGTAGCTTGTGGAGTAGCTAAATGTTAGCAGACCTTGGAGCCTGAGTGAATCTGATTGGAATAATCACTTAGTTTCTGGAATTCAAAGGCTTTATTTATGCAGTAACTATTTAGAGAAAATGTGGAGGTGTATGTCTCAACAAGTTGGGAGAGAACAGCTTTTAGGAGTGGAGCAACGGCAAACAAATGCTGGCTAGATTGCTACACACAGACGCTCTAGTGATTTAAAGAAACATATGCATTAACTACAAACTCAAGATAAGGGAATGTATTTGCTTTCCTCCTTTTTCTAAGTGGAAGTCCAAGTGGAAGTGGAAGTGTTTTGATGTCCAAAAACAGTGCTTTGCAGTAGAGCCACTCAAGGGGAATCCAAAAGTATTTTGGGTGACCAAAAACTTTTTTTGGGGGGTACAGAAATATATAAACTTTATTCAGAGTTCTGATGCAGTGTCAAATAGGGAATTGGATCCAGGAACCCTCTTCAGTCTCCAGTTGTAGCAGTGAGGCTTGCAAAGCAGGGCAGTGTACAAATTTAATTAATAAAAACAATAGAAGTAGCAAATTATCTTTTTGCTGTCACAGAAATCAATGTGGTCTTTTTAGCTGTGGGGGTAGTGAGAGTGTTTTGTTTCTTTAAGACATATGTGGTCTGGGTGTGGCTCTTTCTATAGCTGTGAACAAACTATCCAGAACCTTAGCGTTGCTGAGTGATAAGTCCTGGCTGCTATGCCAAGTTGTTGAGCTTTAATTCATAAATCAATATTGCTATTTGAGTTCTCCTGCTTCCTGGTATGACGGCAGACCCATTGCAAGGTTTCCTCGCACAGTGAGTACCCTTCCCACCGGATACTGGGTGGTACCGTTTGTCTTGGGAGATGATGGGGGACTGTGCCTGGGGGGGGGGGATATTACAATGGCAGATAAAGCTGCTGCTAAAAGAATAGATTCAGGAGTCAATGGAACAGTTGGCAACGCTACGCCCAACTGCCGAGACTCAGGCTAAAAACTCTCTTAATAATCCTTCCCCGCCCCCAAGAAACAAGTGGGTTGGAAGTGGCTTTGAAGCAGAAAATGGAGCCAGTCTGGGGTTAGGAAAAATGATAAAAAAATACTTTACTATTCTGCAAGGGAAACTAAGACCATTATTACAGGTACTCCTGATAAGAATTTTGGTGGCACTCCCTGTACAGTTTTTACTGTACAGTTTTTACTAGCAACTACATGCTTGCTCACTATTGTTAGCTGCCTCTGCTGATTACCGGTACCCTTGACCCTAAACCAGATTTCTTCAGAAATGCTTGGAACGTAGTTTAATTTTGATGTTATCAAATTGTTCTTTTCCCACACCGGGTAGCTTTCAGGAGAAGGTGGCAGGATAGGGTGGAGTTGCAGAATTTTGCTACGGTTTTCCTGAACGGGGTTTACCAGAAAAGTGTTGGATCTGGGCAGGGAGGTCAGGGCTGCACAGACACATTGGCAGAGGCTCCTGCTGGTGTGTCCACTCAGCCCCAACCTCCCTGCCCTGCCCCAGTACTGCCCAGGTTAAAAAAAAAAGGGAAGGGATCCCTGACAGTTAAGTCCAGTCGTGGATGACTCTGGGGTTGCGCGCTCATCTCGCTTTAATGGCCGAGGGAGCCGACATTTGTCCACAGACAGTTTTTTTGGGGGGGTCATGTGGCCAGCATGACTAAGCTGCTTCTGACGAACCAGAGCAGCGCACGGAAACACTGTTTACCTTCCCGCCGGAGCGGTACTTGTGCCAAGCGTTATTATTATAAACAAGACCTCTAAGGGAAAACAAAAATATATGGAATTGCTATTTTCAAAAGAGAACTGTGATACTGAAGTATACTCTTTGCCTTAAAATACGAAGTGAGAGGGCTTAACTAAATTTATTTTTGCCACTGTGTTATTGTAAAATGGAGAAGAATCTGCCCACCTCCAAGTATTGTCGGGTTCAGCCCCAGTCAGCATGACTAGGGATGAGAGATTATGGGAATCAATAATCTATTGATTGCCTTTAATCTTTGAGAATCCCTGGAGAACAGGTGAAGCCCCTGAAGACTGGAGGTGGGTAAACGTTGTCTCCAAAATCTTCAAAAAGGGAAAAAAGAAGACCCAGGTAACTACTAACCGGTGAGCTTGACATCGATTCCAGGAAAGGTCCTATAAGAGTGATAGTGAGCACTTAGAAAAGGATGCTGTGATTATCAGGACCCAGCATGGGTTTCCTCAAAAACAAGTCATGCCAGATGAATCTCATTTCTTTTCTTTTTTTTATTGAGTTACAAGCTTGGTGGACCAGGGGAATGCTGTGGATATAGTGTATTTTGATTTCACTAAAGTTTTTGACAGAGTCCCCCATGATATTCTTGTGAGGAAGCTGGTAAAATGTGGTCTCTATAACTGTTAGGTGGATTTGTAGTTGGTAGACTGATCGAACAAAGAGTACTCATGAATGGTTCTTTGTTTTCCTGGGGCAAAGTGTCAAGTGAGGTGCTTCAGGGTTCTGTCTTGGGCCTGTTGTCCAACATCATTATCCAACTTGGATGAAGGAAATGAGGGTATGCTCATCAAATTTGCAGATGGCACCAAACTGGGAGGGGTAGCTAATTTTTTTTTGGGGGGGGGGAATCACTTCAGTTGTAATCATGATCAGCAATTTATGTTGCCACTTCGTGTTTATTTCATTCCTTATTTATTAATCAAGTTATTAATTCATTTGGTTTGTTTGTTTCCTTGCAGCTCATTTTGGTTTTCCTTCAAGTTCAAAACTCTGTAGTGAGTAGACGATGTGGAAAGTGCCTACCTACATACTGAAATTAATCAAGTTGACTTCAAACTACAAACTCTGGGCTGTGTGCATCATCATCTTAAAGTTCATGTCCTTCATCTGTATCATGTTCTACTGGAGAATCACCCAGGATGCCCAAGACAAGAGACTACACTACAGTTTGCCTACAGAGGTTAAGTGTCCTCCTCTTCCCACTCCTTCATCCAGATGGCCTCCTTCATCACACAAAGACATATATTTTGTAGAAACATCGGAACGAACTAATCCAAACTTCCTGTTTATGTGTTCTGTTGAATCAGCAGCCAGGGTTCACCCTGAGTCCAGAATCATTGTCCTTATGAAGGGTTTAGCAAGCTACAATAAGACTTTGCCCAAACACGTGGCCTTCTCCTTGCTTAGCTGTTTCCCCAACATTGAATTCAAACATTTGGACTTGATTAACCTTTTCTCTAACACCCCCCTCGCTGGCTGGTACTCAGTGGCTCAGCAGAGGTGGGAGCCTTATTTCTTGCCCATCCTTTCTGATGCATGCCGAATCACCATCATGTGGAAACTTGGTGGCATCTATTTAGACACAGACTTCATAGTCCTCAAGAACTTAAATAACCTCACCAATGTGCTTGGAACGCAGTCCAAATATATACTTAATGGTGCCTTTCTCTCGTTTGAGCCCAAACACAAGTTTATTGAGCTTTGCATGCAGGACTTTGTGGTGGACTACAACCGCTGGGTCTGGGGGCACCAGGGCCCACAGCTCCTGACACGCATTTTTAAGAGGTGGTGCTCTATCCATAGCCTCCGAAGCAGCAAAAGCTGTAAGGGCGTTACTGCTGTCCCACGAGATGCCTTTTATCCCATTCGCTGGCAGGATTGGAGGAAGTATTTTGAAGCAATCAATGCTTCCGAACTTCCCATACTGTTTAGAAACACCTATGCAGTGCATGTCTGGAATAAGAAAAGTCAAGGGACACAACTTGCGATCACCTCTAAAACCTTGCTAGCTCAGCTGCAATCCCATTATTGTCCTTCCACATACAGGCTCATGAAGATCTCATTCTGAAGGGGCAGGGCCTAGCAGCAGCCTGCTGTTGATACAAACGCAAATCAGCCAAGCTGTTCAGCCCTGGCAGGTAATCGCCATTGTCTATCACCATTTGACAATGATAGCCCCACGGAGCAGTAGAGTTGCTGGCTCAGCATTTCAAAGAGCAGCTGAATGGCTGAGAGTTCCAGCAGGCTTGGGAGTTCAGAAAAGAATACAGTGGTACCTCAGGTTAAGTACTTAATTGGTTCCGGAAGTCCGTTCTTAACCTGAAGCGTTCTTAACCTGAAGCGGACTTTCCCATTGAAAGTAATGGAAAGTGGATCGATCCGTTCCAGACGATGAAAAACACCCCCTAAAACAGCAATTTAACATGAATTTTACTGTCTAACGAGACCATTGATCCATAAAATGAAGGCAATAATCAATGTACTGTACTATAAAATAAATAAGACAGTATTTTAGATGAAAAAAAATAACATTTTTTTTCTTGCGTGCACTGATGATAGTCAGTTTGGATGGGGGGCTTTTATCCATTTCTGCAGTCACACAATCAACCAGCAGCTGAACTGGGTTCCACACACTCACAAAAGCGAAGTCACAAGTCAGTCCCATAAAATGAAGAACAAGTCAAGTCACAGTCAAAAAACCGAAAAAGCCACACAAAGCAAAGTATAAAAAATTAGCAAAAACAAAACCTCCAAATATAACTTCTGTGTTGCGTGGGTGCTTGGGACTCAACAGTTGGCAGACTCAACAGGAAGCCTCTGATTATCAGTGAGGGACTCAATTGACAAACAAAACACGCTCAACAGGAACCAGACGATGAAAAGCGACCCCTAAAGCAGCAATTTTACATGAATTTTACTATCTAACAAGGCCATTGATCCATAAAATGAAATCAACAAAACAGTACAAAATGGAAATGTGATTCCCCCCCCCTTACCTGCGCTGATGATAGTCATTGTTTGGGTGGGGGCTCAGGGTCCTCTTCCACAATCACAATTGGCTTGGCTTCCGGCATTCACGGAGGCCTCCGAAAGCTCACACAGCTGGAGGCCATTTGCGGAGCCTCCGTAGGCCCCGCAGATGTCTGGGCTTGGCTCCTGGCAGCGGTTAGGCCTCCGAGAGCTCAGAAAACTCAACTCCGGGTTAATATCATTCGTAACCCGAAAAAAACGTAACTCAAAGCGTTTGTAACCCGAGGTACCACTGTACTTTTATGATGGCCAAGTAAGATGTATACAAACTTTTGAGTTAAGTTGGGACTCTTCCTTATTCTGACCATAAAACAAACATGCATATTTTCTAAAAAGAAGGGCTAGGTGCCAGCAGAATATGACACTGAAACCATGACTGCAGACGTTTGCAATTTAAAGATGGGAATAGATTCAGGCAGGAATTACATGTGCATTGCATACATTTTCACGATTGCTTCTGAACCTTTCGTGCCTCAGTTAATGTGCCTTACCTCACTGAAATTTGCATTTACTTGGCTTGGTATGTGAAGCTGCTCAACTCGTAATGCTCAGCTACATTATGAAGTTAGCAGAACTTTCTTTGCATTTTTTTCACCCATGCTCAACATGTAAACAAAGCACCCCCTTTACTCCTTGGTGCCTTGAATGCTTCTGTCTTAAGCATGCTCAGCAGAGGCACAGCACATGCCAGATGTTTGTACTAAGAAGAACTCCAGTACCCTGCAAAACTACCTTTCTCAGGATTCGTGGAGAGGAGATGCTGCTGCAAAGTTTAAGATTCCAGGAAAGGAAGGAGAGACTAAGAAGGGCATCTCAGAGAGACTTCTAATGAGACATCTCCAACTCCACTGCTGCCACATAAGTGGGAAGCAAAGAGAACATTGGAGTGGGGAGTGGCACAAGGTTCGAATTTTGGAACTGAGTTTTCCCCTCCTTAAAACTATTTTTCTGAAAAAGCTTGGTTTGCACTGGACAATTCTGAATAGAGCAAGAGGCATCCGCTCATAAGTACCTACCACCATACACATGTCACACCTGTTCATTCTTCAAATGCCATCAGACTCCCTTCTATTAGTGCACGAGGCAGCATTTTCTCAGATGGCGGGACAGGCTTCTCTGTGGTATATGTATCACTCATCTCATGTATTGAGCCTCTGGGTCAGAAGTGACTAACCTTTTTCAAGCTGGGTTTCCGGTCCTGCCTGCCTTAATGGAGGCAGCCCCCACAATAGCGGGGGATTGTTGGCGAACAAAAAACAAGGATGACAGAGGGCAAATCATCCTTGCAGATTCCCCCCATGGATCGGGGAATGGGCTTCACTCGCATTTCATCTCGGTACCTGACTCTTGCTTCAGCATGGAATGTGGGAGACACGGAGGCACTGAGTGCAAAAGCACTTCGTCTGCCGAAAACCCCCCTACGCTGCTATTAAGAAGCAGAGGTTTCTGTCTGACTGGATGCTTAATTGGCTATAAATTACCAGTGTGTGGTGGGAAAGGGTTGCAACAACATACTGCTGAATATACAGGCTACATGGATCAAAGGTTTGAATTGAGATAAGCTTTTCTTTGGCGCGAGAGTCGGTTGGGGAGAGGGAACCCCACGGTTTGTTTATTCTAAGCTTCATTTATGTATTTATGATTCAGCAACCCTCTCTGGAATATAAGATAAAAAGATATTAACAAGTGAGGAAGGGACGATGGAGTAGTATTCATATCTAGCAACCTGTTGCCTGTTCCGAGACGTCGAAACAAGGGACGGAGAGATAAGACTTCTGAGAAACAGTTCCACCTGAAGCCACAATGGAAGAAAACAACAGCTGGGAAGTGAAAGAGACAACACCATGTGGACAGAAGAAATTTCCATGGATGTAACAGTTTTTACACGCAGGGCAGAATAAAGATAATCATTTGAGTTCCCCACTTGAAGCTTTATAAATTTATATATTGTAACATCACGAATGGAAATAATTAATTATGTAGCTGTTGACTAAGTTTTATTATAACTCAAATGTAACTGATATTAATTAAGATTATGGAACGCAGTGATATAAGATCGAAAATGCCCCCAAACCATCATGTGGGAGCCACTTTAACTAAAATGTATTAATTGGAAGTTGATTGGCACTTTGATAATTGTATAATTTGGAAATTAATTGTTATTGTTATAATTTGGCGATTATTGGGGGTATATTGGAAAACTAATTTAAAAAGTTTTTTTTTTTTAAAAAAGATACCTTTTTTCAAGCTGAGGACCACACACGGGCTTATGATCAACTGTTCCTGGGCCACATGTCAAACTGGGTGTGGCTGAGAGGCAAAAGTGGGTGTCACCAAAGCTTAAAAGTGGCCATGGTGAAAACTGCATTTCTCAAGATGTTTGCTATTTGAATTTTTTTTTATCATTCATAACTAAATTCAGTTTAATAAAAAAAAATTAAGGACAAATTTTGGGAGGGTCATGGCAAAGATGGGAGTCTCACACATAAAATGGCATTGCTGAAGAGAACCTAGTATAGGAGAAGCCATTAAAATATTTAAAAAATATAAAATATACATTTACTTACCTAATTAATTATTTTGGATGACAAATTTTGGCTGTGGCTGCGGGGGGTAGAACCATATCTTTTGGAGGGTTGACATGACTTGTGGACCATGGTTAGCTTCTCCTGCTCTAGGCAATGTCAGAAACTTGGATGCAATCCCAGAATGACATGAGGGTGGCAGTCTCACAGCGAGTACCATTTTCTGATGTTTGTATATGCATAGCTGTCAGGCGTCCCTTATTTGGCGGGACAGTCCCTTATTCCAGCGCCATCTCCCGCTGCTGTCCCTTATTGATGATGTCCCTTAAATAAGCTACTGAAGGTAATGGGGCCCTTTCTATGTCCAGCTGTCCTTTGTCAACAACAAATTGTTGCTGTTTTTTGTGTTGAATAGATGCTATATGGTAATTTATGGACCTCATAGGTATCTAAAGCCATTTGCATGCAACAAAATATGTACTTTATCAAAGTAATTGTTGATCCCTTATTTTGGCTGCTGATCCCTTATTTTCGAGGCTGCTGTTCCCTTATTTTCAAATCTGTAAGTTGACAGCTATGTGTATATGTAATTCCCCTTTCTGTATTACTTGTGTACACATTTCCACTGCCATTTCCTCCATGCCCCCCTCTTCAATTTCTGATGGAAAAGGCATGGTCAAGGGAAAGTCTTCTGAGTTTAAGCAATGCCTTGGTGAAGAAGAGAAGGAAGTATTCCTGTTGTTGCATGCTGGTTGCAGGCATTTTGAAGAAAGAAGCAACAGGCCAGTGCAAAGTTACAACATTTCCCCAAATGCATCTGTCGAAAAAGGCAAGACTTTGCCTCAAGCGTTTCAGTTTTACTGGAGACTTGAGAAAGAGAGAACAGAATAAAAATGAGTGCCATGGTTGTGGAAAAGGAGGAAGAACTGGGTTAGTGGCCGCTGCCTGTTATAACAATCAAAGAGACATTTCCTTATATGAATAAGTTAAAATGTCAGGAAGCCATTCCCAAATGCTTACAACTCTATTTAAGGAGGAAAGAAAGAAAAGCAACAGGCAAATAAATGCTCTTCAGATGGAATGTACTTGTTCACAGCTGACACCAAAAAGTAGGTAGGTTCGATTACAAATGTAAATGCATTGCAGTCCCACTTGCAGTGTTGTAAACAAAAACTGCTCCTTTTCCCTTATGGGGGTACGCAAGAGCCCATATAGAGTCCTTCTGTAGGTTCTCTATCAGTAGGAGAAAATAACAGAGACCAACCAGAGAATATTGAGAAGCAAAGCAGCTAGTAAGCCTGATCTTTATTAAAGCTGTTGCAAGAGGGTGCTCCCTGCCCCACACAGGAGGGGGAGAGGGACCCCGAGCCATGGGTGCAAGCCCTTATATAGACATTTTAAATTGCCCACCCTGGCGTCCAAGACCACCCCCAGAAACATCATACATACATCACAGAAGGGGTGTGGCCCAAGACCACCCCCTTAATACATCAGAGAAGGGGCGGAAATCTGGGTGTGTTGTTTCTTCCTGTCTGCCAGGCTATCTGATTGGATTACCAGGGCATCCTGGCCACTCTTTTGTTATGGTAACTACTCAGTTTCTGAATCCAGGTCACAGGTCACAGGCTCACCCTATTCATATCTTAAATGTGCCCTTAAGACAGGATTTGTGAAAGAGAGAATGGGGAGATTACCCATTTCCTTTGACCTTGCAGAGAAATATTTGAGGTCATTTTGGGAGAGAGAAAATGGTTTCAGGACTTTTCTGTGGGTTTCAGACATGTGGTTTACATATTTGTATGTGTTTGCTAGGTACATTTATGAACATCTATTTTATATATATAAGACCTTAAAATTCTTATAGCAGCAGTGACCCCTCCCCAGGGCCCATCCTAAGACGGAGAACAAACTGGACAAGACAGTGTTTTGGGGTTTAAAATTAGCCACAGCTTTATTGATTCCAGATGTTGGTAGGATTTGGCTTAGGGTGTGTATCCCTCCCAGCCACCCGCTGGAGGGCTGAAACTTGGCAGGACTTGGGATCTTGGGATTTGTGTGTCCATCACGAGACACAGGTCTACACGGATGGCCGCTCGCCTTGGCTTTTGGACAGACACCTCCAACTAGACCCCTCCAACGGGGTACCCCTGTGATCACACTGTTCCGAGGTGGGGGTGAGGTGGTACCCTGCCAGATGTTAGACTAAGGGATTTCACCTAATGCCGTATCTTTTTTATGATTTTCAGTTTCAATAATAATTTTACAATCATTTTAACATCTCAAAACTCAACTTCTCTCCCCCTCTTTCTGCGGTTCCTTAAATTATTTTTTAAAATATTTTCTGCATACTCCAAATTAACTTAATTTACTCATTTATTAAATTAAGTTAATTTGGAACTGCAGGTTATTACAATAATCCTGCCAATGTTCTTATCTGTTTACAGTTAATTTTTAAATATTCAATAAAACATTCCCATTCTTTTGTAAAAAGATTGCCTTGATTTCTTATTTTTTGGGTAAGTTTCACCAATTCTGCATATTCCATAGGTTTTTGTATCCATTCTTTTTTCCTTGGGACTTCTTATTCCCATTCCCCCCCCCCCCAATGCCTTATCCACCAAAGTTGGGACTATTATTATGGGTAGGGCAAAATGTGCAAACGAGGCCAATCTGATTGGAGGCAAAGTCCTTTCCACACGACCAGTTAGGGATTTCCCAACTGCTGGCCACCTGGTCAGACATTGCTCCCTGGGGGCCAGGGGCCTGATGTGACCGGCTGCAACTCCTGTCAACTCTGGAACTGGGTACACGGCCATTTTCTTGCAGTTTATAAACCCTGCTCCACGCGCATTTGAACTGTGTGCCTCTCTTTCAGTTATACACTCTAACAGGCAGATAAAGCATGTTTAAGCCTAAGTGGCATTGCTGAAATCTGTCTTGGGTAAGCGTTTCCTGCAAACTGTACTGCGAAGTGTTCTCGCATAAAATGCAGGTGCACTGACCGCAAACACAACCAGGTAGCTGGAGTAAAAGGCAGAAGGAAGAGCTGGCTTCCTGGAGGTAGGGCTTCCATATCTGATTTGGCAGCGTTCAAGAAGCTGCTCAGCTTTCTGCCTTACAATGTCGCCAGGGTCTTAGAATCTGCTATCACCATTGTTATCTGATGCTCTACAATTGTTCTAGAGTAACGTGATGCTTAGCAAAGAAAAGAAAGAGCAAAGTTTAAGATTGTAAGTTGGCTGGTTCAAAGCATACCAGTTTGCTTTTGATATTTTTGGTCGCCAGATTTGACTTCAGTTCTCTAAGCTGCATCTGTTGACTCACACCCAAGTGCAACTAAAATTGGTATTTTAATTTCTCTCTTTCTCAAGAAGTGGCAACCTTAGGAGGAAAGATGAGAGCAACGGCAGGAGGAATTTGGGAAGATTTTGAAATGAGAAAAGAGAGGGGGAGCGGTAGTTACTAGACCAAAAGCTCCCTGGTCAGTTTCAACTACAGTGGTACCTTGGTTCTCAAACTTAATCCATTCCAGGAGTCCATTCGACTCCTGAAACCATTTGAAAACCAAGGCGTGGCTTCCAATTGGCTGTACTCAAGCGGTAGCCACATCAGACGTTTGGCTTCCGAAAAATGTTCACAAACCGGAACACTTACTTCCAGGTTTGCGGCATTTGGGAGCTGATTTGTTTGGCAACTAAGCCGTTTGGGAACCAAGGTTTGCCTGTATTGTGCTGTGGAGAGTAGCACCCAAACCAATGGATTGAAGTTACAAGAAAAGAGATTCCAACTAAACTTCAGGAAGAACTTTCTAACCATAAGAGCTGTTTGACAGTGGAATACTCGGGAGGTGGTGGACTCTCCTTCCTTGGAAGTTTTTAAGCAGAGGTTGTATGGCCATCAGTCAAGGATGCTTTAGCTGAGATTCCTGCATGGGGTTGGACTGGATGACTCTACAATCTCTAGAATTCTATGATTCTATAGCAGGGGTCGGCAACCCGCGGCTCCGGAGCCGCATGTGGCTCTTTTACACCTTTGCCGCGGCTCCGGGGCGGATACTAGCGAGGGGAGGAGGCGCATTGTGCGCCCCGACACTCCCCACTGTGGTGGGCGCTGTACTGGCTGTGACGTTGCATGGGGGCGGTGCGTGCGTTAGTCACGCACCGTCCCGACGTCACCTTCCCGCCCGCCCGCTACATTGTAAGGGGCATGTACGCTGGTCACTGCATTGAAAGGGGGCATGTACGCTGGTCACTGTTTTGAAGGGGAGTGAAGAATACACACACACAAAAAAGGTAACTTGTTAATTTAACGTTTATTTCTATGAGGAGGAGTAATTCTGAGGGGTCAAACAAAGAAATAATAAAAAAGTGACAAAAAAGTTATTTTTATAATGACGAGTTTTGCGGCTCCCAGTTTTTTTTCCTTCGGAAACGGGTCCAAGTGGCTCTTTTTGTCTTAAAGGTTGCAGACCCCTGTTCTATAGAATAGGACTATTCAAAACCACTGCATTTAAGGAAAGGAGTGTAGCCTCCCCTTTACTCAGTCAAGGCTTTCCCCCTCCACTCCTTTACATTTATGGCCTAGTTTTACCCCTGCCTCAAGCGTTCTGTTGTAATGTTGGCATCATTTTTGCTAATACTGCCTCGTGTCTAGAAGATACAGACTGGTTTCAGCTGCCTTTCATCCATGGTGGAGAACTGCTTGGAAGCTCAATAGCCCTTTCCAGAATCAAAGAGCCTGAAACCAAGAGTGAGTTGTAAACCTGGATGGGGGACACAGCCGTGTATTTTTTTTTAATTAAAAAAAAACAACAGTCAAGAAATTTGGCCCAGATAGAAAAGGATGCCAACTGAATAAAAGCTGCTTTGTGTGGCCTGACCTTGTAGTTCACAGCAGCCAATGAGAGTTTTATCAAGGGCAGGGCTTAACATCTCAGAACTTCTGTACATGAGCCTACAACGTGGTCAGCTTTGTGGTTCACATCATCCCACAGCAAACACCTTGAGGATACCAGAGGGGTAACCGCGTTGTTAGCTGGCTGCAGCAAAACCAACAAAGAATAAAAGCCTAGTAGTGGTTGTTACTGAGAATGAGCAAGGTTTGAATGCATGAAGAGCTGAATGTTAAACCTGTGCCTGCATAAAATGTTGTTTAACATTCTGCATGGGAGAAGAATTTCTGGGTGGAAACCATGCTGAATATTCTAAACCTGCAGACAGACCTGTTTGGTGAAGCTTTTTAAAGGTTTAACATTTTGCTATGTTTTTATATATGCTGGAAGCTGCCCAGAGTGGCTGTGGCAACTCAGTCAGGCAGATGGGTGGGGTACATATAATAATAATAATAATAATAATAATAATAATAAACAACCGGCCATTCCCCCCTGCAAATGGCACTGCAGCAGAGATGGGGAAATGAACCACAGCAAAATGGTTTTTAAAAGAAAGAGAACATTAAGGGGATTGGGGAAAACATTCCAGCTCTCCTTTTGGTACAAAAATCCAGAGAAACAAGTGTGAGGGTTATTTGCTAAAAGCTGTTGTTCTCATTCTTTCCTTTTGAGTTTACAAGAAAAACAGTTTGGCTGGCTGGCGGCTCCTTTCCAAGCTGTTTGCAGTCATTGCAGTCAGGAAACAACTTTGGAAAAAGAGCAGATTTTTTGCATGTGACTTCTTTTATCATGCTTACTTTCTTCTGTACTTCATAAATACATAAAACTCCTCCAGAAAGTGGTCATTCTCTCCTACACATTTATTATTACCGTATTTTTCGCTCTATAAGACGCACCAGACCACAAGACGCACCTAGTTTTTGGAGGAGGAAAACAAGAAAAAAAATATTCTGAATCTCAGAAGCCAGAACAGCAAGAGGGATCGCTGCGCAGTGAAAGC